CCCCAAAACCCCAAAACCCCAAAACCCCAAAACCCCTTTGATTTGGAAATATCTTGAAAATCGTTTAATTAGCTACACTTAGCTTTATGAAGGTCTATCTCATTCTGGTTTAAGACCTTCTCTCATTTCTCACACTGGCTTTATTTATCTTTTTCTTTTCATTCCTGTAGTAAATGATTATCAAGAGATGTCTTCTCAATTATCTGCTCTCATCCAGGTCAGGAGGTGAGTTTAGGGCAGTCTTCAAGGTAATGTAAGTCTTTGTTGTCCTCATCTGCAAATCCTTCATCAAATTTCTCTCAAAATTCTCACATGAACTTTCTATCCTGACCACGACTTTTTATATTAGATTTTCTTCTGCTAGAGAAAGCGTTCTTAGCTGGTTCTACATCAATTCTCTTATTTTTCTTCCATTATTTGTTCTTTCTTACGGTCTTTTTGGTCAACTTTCTCTTTAAGAACTTGCTTTGCTTCCGGAATGATTGTCTTGATTTGCTCTAACTGAGGGATCAAGAGGGAAGATACAACCGGTTCAATTAAAGGATACCCATAAGTCTTATAAACCTCTTGAAGGCATTTTATATATTCAGATTTTAAATCTGTATGGTCTACAAAGTGGGGTAGTCTCTTTCATACATCATTTAGATACTTCTCAGAGAGGTTATTTGACTCTTCTGCCAAGCTTAGAAATAGTTCTACTCTTTTATTTTAAATTCTTTATGTTTTTCTTTTGCTATATCATCGGTTAAATTTACCTAAGCAATCAAAAAGGAGGTTAATTTAAAGCTATATTTTCTAGAAATGTTCTAAAATTACATACCTTGGTTCCTTTTCCTGTTCTTGATACATTATTTTTAGCCCTCGAATCATAATCTGAGATAATATCTGAAAGGAATTGGATGATTCGAGTCTTATCCTCATCTGATTGATTTTCTAATTTATCCTTAATTCCTTTGACAGTGAACTCGATTCCTTCCTGTTGGTAGTACCATTTGTCAGCACATACTTTCTTGGCAAGGTCTTCTCCGAAAATATTAGTAAGTTTTTCCAAGTGAGATACATGCCTAGGGTCAACCTTTAGGGTTATCTTAGATGAATTTATTTGGTCAGGCTTTTGATGCTCAAACTCTTCCTCATTTACTTTGCTAAAATCAATTGGTGTTTCTCTGCCAAGAGCTGGCAAGGCCCTTTCATCCAACCCTATTTTCTTTGGAGCAAAGATATCATTTTCAGGGGGAATTTCTATCTTTTTCATTGATTTTATAGCAATCGGATTCAGAGGTTTGCCCATTGTATTTGTCGTAGCATATGAATCATTAATGTTCATTGAACTTTGAGCCTTACTCTCTTTTCTAGAAGCTCGACTTCGGTATTCGATTGGTGATAAAGTAGTCCCTCTGCCTTTATTTAAAGCATTAAGGACATTTCTCTTCCCATTCCTATCATTCGTAGTTAGGATATTTTTCTGAATTTTGCTCATTTCATTTTTAATCATTTGTGCTGTTTCATAGTCTTCATTACCAATAGCTTGAACTTTTTGTACAGAGAGGACATTAAGCTTTTTATTTAGCTTTGCTAATAGATTTCATTATAGATCTGACTTGCTTTAATTGGTCAAAGTCATCTTCGAATAGTGCTTTCTCTTCTTCCTTTTTAAGGGAGAGCAACTTGTCATCGAAGAACATTCCAATAAAGCTGTTATCCCTACTTTCAAGTGGCTTAACAGGTGCTTTGTCAGATAGACTAGATAGCCTATTATTCAGTGATGATTTGTCATTGTAGAACTTTGATATCTTTTGAGGAAGTCCGTTAGAAGCCAAGTCTTTAGTAGGAGTCATATCCTTATAATCGCCCATATTCAGGCCTAGACTTTTCTTTTTATCCTGTTTGAGAATACTCCCGTAGCATCGAATAGACTGAACTGAGACTTGATTAAAAATGTTATATCTGTTAACATGGCATTGGCTGAATATAAACTTAAGGTATTGTCACTCTGTATCGAGGTATACAGACTTACTCTCCCTTGCCTGATAGTTAGACTTAGAATTCTCATCCAGTGAAAACTTTCCAAGTCTCTTATATTTACTCGCAGAGATAGCGTTTTCAAAGCTTGGGTGGTATGAATACAAGTCCACCTGAGAAGCTATCTTATTTTGATGACTCAGAAGCACTAGTTTTGATAACTTAACAGGAGAGTTGAAATAGATAATCAATTCTTGAGGGTATTGGCAAAATCTTTGGCTATGCCATCCTGGGTTCCCTTCAATATCACCGTTGAGAGATAAGTTCTCAGCCGTTCCTTCATCTTCTTGGGATGAATATGAAAAGACCCTGAATTGCAGCTCAACTTCTTTTGGAGGAGGCTGAATTGTTTTATGTTGGTCTTTTGAAAATTGTACAGGAGGGAGATTCTTTGCGTTCTTACCGTTAGTAGCTGGTCTATCTTGTGCTTGTGTAGTATCAAGACTATTACTCTCCATTTAACCCTGATTCTAGTTTAATGTAATAATTTTATAATTCAACAATCATAAATTAATCTGGGGTTTTGGGGTTTTGGGGTTTTGGGGTTTTGGGG